AATTGAAAAAACTACTTGGTCCATACTTTATAATCTCCAAGCTCTACACCATGACCACCCGAATGAGGACTACTATCATTCCTAATAGCAGGACCTCTTCGACTCCAGGGCATGATTACCTGCATCTCCCGCCTTTCCTTCTCTCCGGGCTGACCCAGATTCAGTCCCTCCCTCATGTGTCCCCTGGCTGATAACAGCTGGGGACACACAGACAGGCTGGTGGCCTTGGGGAAACAATCTCATTTCCCATGTTGCCCCAGGAGCACACCAAACATTTTTAGAAAGAACAACACATTTTCTGAAAATAAACACAATTGCTTTACTGCCTATTTTTCCTTAAGGGAAGGAAAACGTGTCTGTTATTTTGTTCTAAGGACATGGTATGGGGGTTTCAAAGGACAAAGTGGATGAGAAAAATAGTAACCTTAATACAATTTTAATTTTCTAATTGGTTACAAAAGAGCCGATGAGCAGTTCAGTAAACCAGGAAGTAGTGAATGTGAACAAGGAGGTTAACATCGGGCCACGTCTTCTGTAGTCAGCCAGGCAAAGTAAAGCAGCCTAGGAAATATACCTGGTTAAGAAGAGTAAAGAAAAACAGCAGATATTCCCTGGGTTTACAACTATAATGCAAAGTAAATTTAACCAGCATTTACACATATTATATAAAGTAAGTTGATTTCTGATTTATATGTGAAACTAAAGTTGTTCTACAATGAGATTTTATTTTTAGTTAGAAATTTTTTGGAGGAATAAAATATTTATGCTGTCCTTTTACTAAGACAATATTTCCTTTCTGACTTGAAATCTTACTAAGGATGCATTTTTAAAAAGGAAGCTAAAAGAATTCTCCCCTTTCTCATGTGATCATCTCTTCCCCACTCACAATAAAGTCCATGTTGTATGACTTTGTTCCTGATCCCCAGCAATAGAAACTATTCCAGAATTGTTTTCCACATATGACTAGTGAGGAAACATTCCCTTATAAGGATAACCATAGTACCATAAGTTAGTAGTGGCCATGCAGTAACCAGGGCTACCATTATTTGAAAAAGAAAATGTCCACCGCACACTGAAATAGTGCCTGCATGCTGAGATGGGAGTCTTAATGTTTTGGTCATCAACGTGATTATTAGTCACCTCTGTTCTTACAGACAGAGGACTGCAATACTTTTTTTTCCCTCATTTCATGGTTTTACCTAAATGTATGGCTCAGAGCAAGCACCCATGCAAAAGGGCCATCTTTTAAAATTTCACCAAAATGAATACCAGAAGAATTTAGCATATTCAAGTTGGGAGTTCTAAGTGAGTAGGCAGGTAGTTCCAAAACACTTAGGAATGCATTAAAGCAACAAGGCCTAAAGAAAAAATACAAAGGTTGACTGAAAACGCTACCAGCAAAGCACAAAAATGTGAATGAATCGAAGGCTGTGGAATATGAGAGGTTAGAAAACATCATCAATGATGCACATAGCACATGGCAGATTATATACGTACACTCGCAGGTGAGTACACGTGCCTGTGTACACACATGTGTAAGAGTAAAACTGCAGAGCAAAAAAAGCAAAACAGCTTATGTAAAACCCATTCTTTATTTAGAGTTGCTCTCTGACTGCCAAATTACAAGGGTTTTCTCTGCTGGATTATGCCTAAATGTTTTCTTTTGGACTGTAATTCTAAATGGGTAAAAAAATAACCTTTTCCTGTCTTAAAGAAAAAAAAAATATGCATCCATGCATAGACACTACTTTCTAGGTGCTGCTTTAGTGGCTGGAATGATGGGATTTGTGTGCTTCCTGGCCATCTCAGTATTTTAGTAATTATATGTGACAGAGCTGATGTGCTGATCAATATAAAGACAACAATCATTTACACTAGGCATTGAGTGCAATTTCAAGAATTTTCCTTAACCAAGCTGAGTGTCTGGAGTGGAATCGATACACAACCACCTTGCTAGTGAGTGGCATAAATGAAGTATGACTGCATTTTCAACACCAATAAATATGGATCAAAGAAAAATCAAATCAATGGAGAGAATGAGTTTTGGAAATTGCACAATGACAGTATTTTTGAATGCATGATACTGTGCAAAACCCAGGAAAGCAAACAGATGTTCGCTCCCATTTTGCCTCTTTCTTCCCATATTTATCTTATCATTTGGGAAAAGATTTCTTGTATCGCAGTTTGATTACATGTGCATTTTGCAAATTTCCAGATGTGTTCAAATGCTTTAATCTACATTATGGCTCTACATTTTAGGTCCACATGATTCCCTAATCAGAGTTCTTAGTTCTCTAAACATTAAATTAAATTGAGAATTTTAATATACCCCATTCAGTTTGTGGGGACTATGGACATTTTTTTCCACAAACTAGTCTTTCTAGTTATATCGGTCTTCCAACTTTTCAATAGATAATCAGTGCTATTATGTTGTACTATAAAATGAATCCTTTGAAGAGAATATTCACTTTTATGTGGGAAAAAAATAAAACACCTTGACAGGTAAAGTTGAGATAATTTCATCTCTCCAATTTGTGCGGACATAATTTACCACTTGAGACAGGCAAAGGCAGTCTGTAGTAGGTCTCCCTGAACGCTTCCTGAATGCTGTCCCTTGTCCCGTGACAACTGGACCTGATTTTAGCACCATGCATGCGAAAGATGAAGACAGACAGCAAGTTCATTTATCCCCAGATGCTAGCGCAGAATGCAACGTGACCCCAGCAACTTTGGCCAATACCACAGTGACATTTAATCCAAGCAGAGCACAGCTGGACTTGGACACAGAGTGTTATGACAGCTGTGGAAGGGGTGTGTCCACACAAACCCACATCTTAGCAGACTTCACAGAGCCGGACCTCCTGAAATCCTGTAAAATTGGTGAGAAAAGCCACATATTTTGGGCTCTGGAGAGTGTTTGAATCTGCTTTGTAAATAGAGATAAAAATAGAAAGTGACATCTACAATTAAGTAGTAACGTCCCCAATTTCCCAGGACAACTTGTAACATGTAAAAGTAAAGAAGAACAAAATAATCTCCTACCAAGTCATATGACAGGAAAATTGAATACTACTATGCAATATGCCTGCTTTTTAAAAGGATAGAAGAGGCTGAGGAAGATCACCCCAGAGAAATTACTTTCAATCTGAGCCTGGGACAGATGCAGACCAAGTGTTCGCACAAACTTGAGACCGCGGGCTTGAAGGTGGGATGCAACAGAAACAGAAAAAACGTTTTAAGACTCTGCAGAAGAATCCGAGTGCACAGTTGGGGCTGGCGCTTGCTTAGGCCCGGAGGCCTCGGCCTGGGTGATGCTAACCTTCCCTGTGGCTGTGATGCTTCGATTCCTGTGCCAATGGCCCCTGGGCCACTTTTAGGGTCATGGACAGCATGTAAGCAATGGGTGCCACAGGTCAGTGAGATGAATGTGACCACTGACTCCTCAAGCGAACCATGCCAGAGGGCCAGCGGCAGACCCGCGTCTAGCCGGGACACGAGCTTCAATTCAGAATAGAGCTTTGTTATGGTTTGTGTTATGGTTTGCCCCAAAGCCTCATGCGGCCATGGGGCAGGCTTTTAGAGTTTGATTGATTATGGGTGTGAGAGCTACACCCACCTGGGGGTGGATAGTTTGCATATGTAAGGGAGAGGAAGAGGCTGCTTGAGGCCATTCCTCCCTTGTGTGTGCTTGTTGATTTGGCTGTGTTCTGCCGCCATGAGCTGTAGCCTCTGCCATGTACCACTCTGCCTTATAACCTGCCAAGTATGGACTGAAACCTCCACAAACTGTAAGTGAAATAAACCTTTCCTTCCTTAATTTTGGGCATCAGGTATTTTGTCCCAGCAATGAGAGAAAAGTAACCAAGACAAGCTTTCCTGCATGTCACCATGCTCTCCCTTGGCCCCTACCCATGGCAAACAGAAAGGCCTTACACGAGCTACTATACCACACAAGCAGCAAAATAACTGCTTCCCAGAACTCGGAGGTTTTCAAATAAAAATCTCTAGGATTCGATCCTCTTTTGACTTCAGTACCACCTCCACTGTACCAACTTTTGACTCTCTGAACTGACAACGGCACACACTTTTTCCAGGCAGAGAGAAGCCCAACTGTTTGCCCAAGTATAACACAGTGAAAATGTGAGCCAGGGTTTGGAAGGCTGTGAAGTCAAACTCTGTGAAAAGAACCCAGAAACACACCATATGGGTCTTAATGGTAAATGCATCAGTTTTCTTGAGTACGCTACTCAGCAAAATAGAGAACTCTGGAGGGAATCTACTCCGATGAGACAAAGGTAAAATATCTCAGTCCCTCTGAAAATGGGAGAAATTTCATTTATACAGATTAATGAGCTCGGACAGTCCACACTCAAGAGTCCTGGTAATCCTCTCCTTCTTCCTAGAAGAATACTGTACATTTATTCTCTTTATTTACTGCACAAGTTGTACTTGGTAATTTCTCAGCCATGTAACTCATAATGGAACAAGAAATGGGGCCTACATGTTCACAATACACATCTGCTTCAATAATAATTTCACATTGTCCCTTCCAATCATTTGTTTCTTTTTAAGAAACAATAATGCATTAAATACTCAATTGACAAATTGGCCTATTTACTAAAAGTTTAATGATATAAAACCCCAAGTGTCACAAATGAAAAACTCCACCCATTTAAAGACTAGAGCTCAGGACAAAAGTATTCTGTGCCCCGTGGAACAAAACAGCATCAATTTCATTTTGGGAGAGCAACCACATCCTCAAAAGACCACAGCTTTGCTCCTTACCTTCTAGGGCCACACATGGTTCGGAATAAGCCCCTTCTGGCAGCCCTGGTCTGCCCCACCGTGAGGCCCTTGCCTTTTCCTCTGTCCTTCCTCTTAGCAGAGATCCGGCTTCGGTGGTAACTGTGGTCTGCAGTGCAGCCCGGACCTCACCCTGGGGACACCCACCCTTTGGGCTGTGCGCTGTCCGGAGCCGGCTGCCCTCCTCCCCTGCGTACCTGACAGGGGCGCCCCTGCTCTGTGCGGGCTTCAACATGACGGTCACCGTATTGTCTGTCTGGTTCAGAGGTGTCTCGAGTTCGTAAGCTGGCATGGACGGAGCTGGAAAGAGGCAAGGAACTATTATTTCTTTGGCTGTAGCCTCTCTAGTCTGACATACATGGATGTTAAAACTCTCTCTGCACTGGCGTGTTTGGTCCTTCTATGTCCTCCTCCCAAGCATGGAGCACACAGTGTGCGTGCTATGAGCTGCAGCCACCAGCTGCCCATGAGCAAGCCTGATCGTGTGCCCCTGCTCCATCCTAAGCTGAACTTGGACAGGGTCAGGGCGTGTGCGCCCATGCACGTGTGTGTGTGTGTGTGTGTGTGTGTGTGTGTGTGTGTGTGTATGTGTGTGTGTGGTGGCCTGAGCTGCTAGTGATGTTATTTCCGGGTTTGAATTCAGGCTAAATGGGTATAGGAGGCTTGGGAGAATGCATCGTGCTGTCTACTTACTCCTTGTGCTCACTGGAAATCTGACTTCAGCAACATGCTGACTTGGAAGGAATAATTAAATTTTGAGATAATCCCTGGGACCGTAAGCCTGCAGGGGTGTGCCGAGGGCAGCAGGAGCCACAGGGCCTGTGGAGTGAGCGAGTGAGTGACAGCGCGCGGGCTCTCAGGGAGGCGGGAAGCACTGGGACAGGAGAGGGAACAGCTGGGTTGACTTTTGTGTTTTTTTTAATTAGTGCACGTTTGTAGCACATGACAATCTTTTGGGGTTGGTGCCAACTTCATTCTCTCTATGTCCCCTTTCCCTCCAGGCCCTCCCTCTGTCTCTTGGTCCCCTTGTCATCTGAGAAAGATCTAGTCCCACTTCCTTATATTTATCATTTATTTTTTTCTCTAATGTGCTTTGTTCTAATTGTTGTAGGGGCTTAGGGACATTAATCATCTCTGAATCTTCAGTTTATGTATCTTTCAATACAGAAGAACAACCCTCGCCTCGGCAGTTGGTGAGGCAATTCTATGGGTGACGCAGAACGCCAGGCAAATGGAGCTCTCCAAATGTTATTCCCCTCCCAGCGTGGGTCCTACCTCCAAGGCCATTCTCAGAGATTCTTTCCTCTCTAGATTGTGAAGTCATACTACCCCGAGGTAATGGTAGAGCTTTTCACAGATGCCACCTGACCCTGGGCGGGACAAATCATCACACGAAGCTGTGATGTGTAGTCTGCAGGTACAGGTGTCTGGTGGAGAGGCTAGATATGGATTCTTACAAATGCGGTTTGAAAAAAATCATCTTATGTATAAAAAAGCTTTTATGTGATAGACATGAGCTATTTCTCAGCCCTGTTATCACAGCATCTGAAACATGGACCAACTCCCCAAGAAGAATGCTATCATTTTGTCCTACAAATACTCACAAATAAAAATTTAAAAATTGAACAAAAAAGGAAAAAGAAATTGACTTCAATTCCACATAAAATTATATTTTGTATGTAAGAGTAATTTCCTCTTTGGTCCATGAAAATAAAAGAATAGAACCCATAAAATGAACTTGGTCTCCCGCCCCATACTAGGGATTGCAACAGCCCTTTTATTTATTTATTTCTCAGGGTCTTGCTCACCTGCTCAAGCTGGGTTTAAACCTGTGATCCTAATGTCTCTGCCTCTTGAAAGGCTTGGGTCTCAGGTTTAAACACCACATCTGACTTACTCTAACATTTTTAATAATATAAAAGTCAAATAGTTATTCTTCATAAGCCTATGTCATAATGATTTCTTTGCTTTGGGATAGAATTATATGAACTTGGTATACCAATACTGGCCACACTCATATTGGTTGGAAACTACCTAAAAAATTGAGAAAAGGAAATTATTCTTTTCTAACAGAGTATGTTCCTTAAGATAAAAATCTTTGAAATACGGTTTCCACTGGGGAAATGTTTAGAAATTATTTTGAGGTGTACATATTTGGAGGCAAATGTATTTCCTCTTTAGGTCACCATGATAAGTCGATACATTAGATGTCACTTATAGGCAGGGGCCAACCCACTTGATTGAGATCAGAGACAAAGTACACGGAAAAATCCCAATTTTTACATTCCAAGTCCGGTGATCTTTCTTCCCATCCATTTGTACAACCCTTGTCATTTTTTTTTTTTCTGGTACTGGGAATCGAACTCATGAACTTACGCTTGCCAGGCAGGTGCTGTGCCACCAAACTAAATCCCCAGCGCCCCCCTCATCATTTTATAACCTCCTGAGATGACTTCTTTTCCACTTCTGTATTGTTCTATACCATAGTGCTTTATACTGGATATCAGATGTGTAGTAAATTCTAAATCAACTTTGTGCTCATAAATAAAACCTAGAGGTGTTCTGGGAGTCGGGGCCTGGCACAGTGTTGAGCATCTGTAGCCTACCTACTTGGAAGGCTGAGGCAGGAGGTTCCTGTGTGCCCAGGAGTTTGAATTCTGCTTGGGCAACATACCAAGGCTCTGTCTCAGGAAACAGCACAACAGGCCATGAGTTGGAGGCCTCATCACAGGACTGAAGGAGCCGGGTTCTGCTGTGTTTGTCAGCTCCCAGGGGGAGGAGAGGAAAACACTGGCACTTGGATAGCAGCTATGAGGTCACTGCCTGAGTCACGCTCATCTCATCCTGTGTCCTCATGACTTACAGACTCAGACAAAACCAAGCAAACCCAGGCCCGGTAGCAGGGCGAGACTGAGTACCCTGGAGGCAGAGAGGCGGGATGGAGAAGGACTGGGCCCTGGATGCTAAGACACCTGACCACCCCGCGGGGATGGACTGGGTCTCCAGCAGAGCCCAAGCTCCTGTCACAGGTGGCCTCCCAGGGGATGCTGAAGACCAGGATCCTGGTTCCTTCCTGGGCTTTCCCTCTGCGAGGGTGGGGACAGTGGTGGCAGCTCTGTTTGGCCAATGAGCAGGCGGCTCCTCTCCTGCTGTACCCGAGGCCCACTGCACCACCTGGGCAGCTGACTGGCTTAAGCAAGGCTCTGCCTCAAAAAGTACAAAGGGCTGACAGCTGGCGTGGGTCCTTGCCTTCAGTGATGGCAGAAATGAAAAGCACAAGTGCACAGGAAAAGCTGTAATTGGGCAGCTAGGGCTCCCCCTGCCAAGGCAGCAGGACGGCGCTCTGATTCAGGGCTGTGTGTGGCCCCACTGGCAAGGTGGCGTGCTGGATGGGGTCCCCTAGGGCCCTCGTGCCCCAAGAAGAACTGGACAAAACACAGAAAAGGCAGCAGAAGTGTGTGTCTATGGGAGGCGGAGAAGTGTGCTCTGCAGAGTGACAGCCAGCGGCGGGAAGCTCCACGCAGCCCTGGGATGCGGGAAAGGGGTCTTCTAACCTAAAATCCCCAGGTCATCTCATGCACATGAAGCATGGGGTCAGCGTCCTCTCAGACACTCACTGGTGGAGAGCCGGGAAACCACCTGCCAGAAAGCTTGCTTGGCTTCCTGTTACAGGTAAATGAAGGACCCAAAGTGTCTTTTGATTGGTTGTGCCCATATGCAAATGAAGGACTGAAAGGACCATCTAATTGGTCCTGGGAATAGCACCAGCTTCAAATAGGAGGCTGAGGCAGGAAGATCATCAAGTTCAAGGCCATCTTGGGCAACTTAGTGAGACCCTTTCTCAAAATAAAAAGGGCTGAGGCTATCACTCAGCAAGCACAAGGCTCGGGGTAAAACAAATAAAAATAAATAAATAATAAAACCTACAACACTTACAATAGTCTAATTATAGATCTTCCCTTCTTTTATTCCAAACTTGAACTTTTACCAAGCTAAGAAGGAGGGGTAGTAGATACTGAAGTCAGGCTACATACAGCTGCTCTAAACCTGGTGGATATAAACAGTTTCCGCTGTCCCCCATGTCCATCTCGTCTACCCCCACCGAACAGTTAAAACCCAAACTCAAAAGAACAGGGAGGAGGATGAGGAGAGGGGAGGAAGAGGAAGAAGAAGAAGCTATCCTCATCCACAGGATTTTGTTTATTGTAGTCACTCACCCCAGATGGAACCTCCATTTCCTCTTGATGGAAGTACAAAGACATTTTCTTTTCTTTATTTTCATCTTTTTGAGACAGGGTTTCCCTATGCAGTTCAGGCTGGCCTTGAGCTCACTTTATAGCCCAGGCTGGTCTCGAACTCACAATGATGCTCCTGCCTTAGCCTCCAAATGCTGGGATGACACGCATGTGCCACCCTGCCTGGCTCAAAGACATTTTCTGAACCATTGAACATGCCCATAAATATTTCCTAAATGATGTCTTTCATTGGATGGTGTCGCTATGTCTAAAACCAAACCCCTAGAGGTCCTCGCGGCCTGGGGCCCCTCTCTTGTGGCTGGGAAGCTGCTTGTGGTGAAGATCCCCAGGAAGGTGGGCCTTGTGCAAGGGGACACTCATGACTTCTGCCCAGCTCCCTCGAGCAGCTTTCCACAGCACTGCTGCTCTGGAGTTTGGGGTTGCAAAACGACAGCCACTGCTAACCTGTGAGGCCCTCATGCTCCCCAAGGGTAAATGTTCATGGTTACGTCATTCAGTTCCGCCAATCCGAGTTTCAGGCACTCAGAGATATTTGCATGAACAGAATGTGCTCACGTGTCTGAGCTTTGTGTTCTTGACCACCGGGATGAACAAGTTCAGCAGCTCTACCTCTGAGAGGAGACAGAACTCCCAGAACACAGTACCTGAGATTTTGGTGGTGAACTGGTTTGTTGCTGGAGGCCCGAAGCCCTTGGCTGTGCTTGCTCGGATGGTGAAGGAGTACGTGGTCCCCGGATAGAGTCCAAAAAACAGAAAATGGGTTTCGTTTCCCAGTTTTGAAACTCTTCCACTTTGATTGGATAAGTCAATTTCTGGGTCAAAGGAGCTGACTGCTTTGTAGGTGATCTGCAAAGGAATAAGACTGCGGTGAAATATCTGGAGCAGGGGAACTCCGATTGCATTTGTCTACTCCTGATATCTACACAGTCAGATGCTTCAGGATAGGCTAGCCTCCTCCCTGCAGACCCTGGATCCAGTACACGGCAGCAAGAACTCAGCCCAAACCCTTAGGAGTTGTTACCGTTGGAGACAGAGGAACGGAAAGCCAGTGAGTAGGTCAGGCCATGAAGGATGAGTTGGGTTTGAGCTGACACCTACAAGTAGTTTGCTTTCAAAATGGCAGTTTTGTACAACTGCGTAACAGCTGGTTTTGAACAAAGTAACAAAACAGACAAGTAACTCAAACAGATAAGGCCCTGACCAGCACACAGGCTCATCCCTTGCTCCATGGCTGGGATGTGATTCAGCACTGAATAGCTTTATTGTCTGTTGGGAACAAGGGCATATTTAAATGTTTTCATCAATGCGGGCAAAGATGTCTGCTCCAAAAATAAACCCTTGATGCATGACAGTAGTTCCCAGCGCTGCAAACGAGGGTTCACCATGGGTCATGTTACTTCACTGTTTTCAAAGCATTGTTGTCCGGCAGAACTTTCTGTCATGATGGAAATGGAAATGTCCCATTCTGCACTGCCCAATATGGCGGCCACAGGCCACATGTGGCAACTGTGCACTTGAAGTGTGGCCATTAAGACAGTGGAACTGGAGATTTCCTTTTTTTAATAGTTCTTTTTTAATTTTAATTTTTTTTTTTTTTTTTTTTTTGTACCGGGAATCAAACTTGGGACCTCATGTTTGCCAGGCAGGTGCGATTCCACTGAGCTATATTCCCGGCCCTTATATTTTAAAGAGAATAAAAAATAAAAAAATTAGAAATGATACAGAATTTCACTAAATAAGATGATAAGAATTCAACAATGGTTGTTATGTTGCACATTGTTGTCTTCAAATTAGTTGTTCATATTACCAGATATATGCATTTTAATCAACTAGAATTTACATTTAAATTGCTGTGAGTTTCGAGTCACTTCCGTCTTGGAGTGTACAACTCCAAAAGTTGTTGTGATATTTGCTACATAACATATTTGCATGTTGGATGAATCAGAAATGTTTGGAAATAAGTAGAACATAGGTGACTTTACATTTTGCCCTTGTAAGTGATTTTTTTTAAGGAGAATTTCAATATGAGTAGTTCATCAACTATTCCAGAACAGGTACTTTGGTGGTGATTGCCAACTTCTACTAGTTGTAATGACATAATTTTAAAATGTGGCATATTCAAAAGTTTTAAATTACAAAACCAAGCACTTTTCTTGCTTCTAAATAGGTAAACTTACTTGTAATTTATGTGCATGAACACCAACACTGTTATTATACAGAGTGATAATTGACATTCTTTCTTCTTATATTTATACCATGTCATTATAATTAAGAAGACCTCTCTGAGAGAACATTTAGATTGAAGCAACTGAGCTTTGGCAAGGAAATGTTTGCTGTATATATTAATCACCGCCGCGGGTGATACTCTGAGCTGGGTGGGGGCTCGGCTGTTAACTCTCTCATAGGTTTCCCTGCCGAGGCGAAGCAGTAGAGCAGAGTCAAGATGCAATCTTGAGCCTGGCTGCTCGGGACGACCTGGGCAACATGTCCCCTGGTGCCCGCTGCTTGCCTGTTCCTCCCGAGCAAAGGGGCGCTCCAAGGAGCGGGTCCAAACGGGGACAGCACGATCACGCCCAGCGTCTGTTCATCCACTCACAGGGGCACTGAGCGCCTCAGCTCTGCTGGGCAGCTCCTTTGGAGCTCACGCCTCTTGGTGCTCATTACTGCAGGTGGGGACAGGTGGCCCAATGGTTAGGGCACAGGACAGTTACGACAAGGACCAGCACTGCCCGTCAGGGGCCTTAGTTGCCACCCTCACATTGACTGTGAACTTTAGTGGGCCGCATGTGCACATGGGGAAAACGTCCCAACGCCTTTGCCTCCTTTTCAGACCTGCTCTTACCTGCTCCTCCAAATTCATCTCACATATGCAATGCTAGACATTATGTCACCCTCTGCAATGTCAGGGCATGAAGATCAACAGCCTGCTTACCCTCTGACACTGCCTTTTTCTTTTCTCTAGTACTGGGGATCGAACTGAGCTACAACGCCAGCCCTTTTTTTATTTTTTATTTTGAGACTGGCTAAGTCACCCAGGCTGGGCTCAAACTTGCAATCCTCCTGTCTCAGCCTCTGGGAAGAGTACGACTTTGCTTCTGCTCTGTGCTGTCTTCTCTACCTGTTAAGAATGGCTCACACAGTCCTGGGGAAAGCACTCTGCAAGCACTGTGGCTGCCGAGGAAACCAGGCTCTCCTTTCTGGAAGCAAAGAAGCTGGCTGGGGTGTGCTGGAGCTGTAGGGCCTTACAAGAAGGAAATTCACAAAGGTAAAACAGTCTCTATGGAAGAAACAGGAGGTAAGATATGAAGGGAAAAAGCACCGTGGGGAGAAGGGCCACACAGCTGTCAGAGAAGGGAACCCTGCTTTGGGCATGCGCATGAGGCGGACGAGGAAACGAGGAAATGCTGGCAGGCAGAAGAAGACAGGTCACACCCAGAATGCCTGTGGCCGTCAAGTGCATGAGATCAAGCCTGGATCTGACAGAGGACAAGGCTGGAGGCAGAGCTCTGAGGTGCCTGGCACTGAGCTGGCACTGGACCCTCTTAGAATGGGAGAACTGTGCAGAAGGGGTTCAGCGTTCAGCAACGGCCGGGGCTGCGCCCCCGGAACACCGACCTTCAGACCAGGAGAAGGGGACGTGATGAAGAGCTGGAACAGGAAAAGCCCAGGGGCAGCGTGAGCTGTCAGCGAAGCCCGAAGAAGAAGGGAAAGGTGTCAAGGAGGGAAATGTTCTCAGAGACCCGAGACAGGAGGGCCGTCCACGTCCCTGCCCAGAGCTCCAGCTCCACTCACTCTGAGCAATGACTGCCTCTGCGGCCTGGTGACCAGTTCCCAGGTCAGCTGGTGCCACCACTGAGACGCTGGTCACATGCTTCACGCGGGGACAAGTCATTGAGTGCGGAGATTTCTCTCATTTAGTCTTAAATTGCAATGTGTCAGAAGAATCACTGCAGCTCAGACAGTTGCATCTGTTTCTGAGGAGTTGAGAGAGCCTCCTCCTCCTCCTTTATAACCCCGTGGTGATCAGTAAACATGTGACCCCCTTAAATATCTTCATGACAAACGCACAGGGAGAGCAGGTGGTAGGGCGTGTGGGGTCTCTGCTCCTCCCAGGAAGACACAGAGCAGGAGCTTCCCAGGGGACTGATGCCATAGGGCCGATGGGCACGTCAATGGGCTGGCCCTGGAGTTCCAGTCGAAGCTGCACCAGGCATCCTACCTGTATTTTAGATGCAACCCTTTGGAAGTTTGATAAAAATATAGATCCTTGTCCTCTGCTCCTACAACACATGCATGTATTCTAATTCTTGCCCTGCTAAAAGTTAGGAATCTGGTCCCCATCTCTAAGAAGACAATTCTGCTATGCATCTACACATACAAAATGTCAGAAAGCCCTGCAAGTCTACTTGTGGGGACAGCCTGAGTCCACCATCTACTTCAGGCTGCAGAGGGGACAGTTAGTGGGCAGCTGCTGGTCTGGATGACGAAGGCTCCCCGGGCATCTCTACCCACACACCCTGCGCAGTGCACCCCCTACCAGGTTCGTCTGTTCCTTCAAGGAATGCTTACAAAAAGCCTGCTAAGTAGTGGGAATGCCGCCAGAAGGGAAGAGCGGGGGAAGCCGTCACGCCTTCCTGTATCACTGGCTAAGGCTGAGGGACATGATGATGTAGCCCCAAGGAGGACACCCATGGTCCCACGTTGGACCCAGGGAATCTTATTGGGACATCCCAAGACAAAGCAAAGAGATACAGGAGCAACATGGTGGGAGGTGTGGACTGGATGAGATGAATGAGACTCTGGTCAATTGGTGGCTCTGAAACCACAGGTGAATTCACCGTCTCCACCTGTGCACTGCAGGCGTCAGCGCTATTGTCCCAGAGACCTGAAAGTGATTAGTACAGGTGGTGGGGGACTCTGGACGGCTCTTGATGAAAGAACCCCAACTCACTCATGTTGGATGGTGTCATGCTTGATACAGTATGTCAACCTGGGAAGTTTAGAAGTTTAACTCAGCAACTCAGCCAGGAGCCAGGGTCCTTACTTTGTAAATATCCTCATCCTGTGCAAGAGGAGGGGTGGGATGGTGTGAGTGCTACACCCGCCCTGGGGGGAGGTAGCCTGCTTACAATGGAAGGGAGGAAAAGAGGCTCGCTCTCCCCGCTTTTGCTCTTGTTGCTTAGCTGTTTTCTGCCACTTTGAACTGTTGCCCCTATGCCACGCCACCTGCCTTGGAACCAGCCAAGTATAGATTGAAACCACCACAAACTGTGAGGTTAAAACAAACCTTTCCCTCTTTGAGTGTCAGGTATTATCTCAGCAATGAGAGAAAAGTAACTTAGACAGATGGTTCCTGATTTTCAGGTAAATTCCTGATATTCCCCAAATTACCTTCCCTTCTTTTCTTAAAGTCTCATGTTCTAAACTGTGAGTTTCACAGAGAAGCAAAACAAGATAAGGTTTTCAGGAGCTGAAGTTTTCCAGAAGTGGGAGTAGATGGTAATTGGGCCAGTATAAAACACAGGCCTTTCACTCAGGTCAGAGCGATCTACTCTGTGAACATGAAGGACTGAATAATCAAATTTGATTCCAGAGAGGAAAGGACCAAAGACACTTCAAAGGGAAGTACAGTGTTTCAGGGAGCTCTGAGTGCCAGCAGGACAGTGAGGATGGTGCTGGAGGGCAAAGGGGCAATGGCAAGAGCACGGCAGTGTCAAGCTTCGGGTCTAGAATGTGCCCCAAGTCTCCGGTGTGCAGAGGTGGCTTTTGGGAGGTGGGCCCAGGAAGGTGTGACCAGGAAGAAGTATTCTTTCTTTTTTGGAGACAGGGCCTCACTGTGCAGTTCAGGCTGACCTTGAACTAACTCACAGCAGTCCTCCTGTCTCAGTCTGCCACGTGCTGCTACCACAGGTATGCGCCACCACACCTGGCTCTGGAAGGATGCATTCTTGTCCCCTTCCCCTGCCTCTTCCTCCCTCTGCTGTGTTTCCCACCTGTCTGTTTCCCAGCTGCCTAAAGCCTCCCCTACCTCGCCTTCCACCACGCACTTCTGCGCTGGAGCCAGCCACTGACCCTGAGGGACTGATGCCTCTGAAACCAGAGCCAAATTCCCCGTCTCTGCCTGTGCACTGCAGGTGTCAGGGATGTTGACCAGTGACGGGCAAGTGATTAGTACAGGTGGTGGGGGAATCTAGAAGGCTCTTGGCAAAAGAAAACTTCACATGCATGGCTCAGTAAATCCCAGGAGAAAGGCAATGGGGGAATGGACAAATGTAAGTAGAGATGAGATCCTGAAACCAAACTTCTCAACACTGCCCCTGAGCCCCCTGCCCCTCTGTACTGTTCCCTGTCGGAGTCCACGGTGATTCAGGAGCCCAATTCTCCAAGCCCAGATCTGGAGATGGCTGCAGGTCCTGCCGTGTCAGTGTCACAGTGCCAAGCCCAAACCATCCCATTTCCCTGGATGGGAGCCAGAGCACAGCCACACTTGAGACACTGTGCATTAACCTGAGTTCTGGGCTTCGTGCTTCTTCCTTTCTATACTTAGCTGCTCCAGGACAGTTGCTGCTAGTACACAAGGACAGTATCTTGTCTGCTTCTGTCTTCTTTCAGTATATTCATACATTAAATGTCAAAAGCAGACCTGTTGTAGGGTTACTGTTAGGACTACAGGTCTAGACTTACTCTCTCGGCCATTGAGAGATAAAGTGGGTGAGATCAAGGGCAGATTTGGGACATATGCTCGTGCATCTGGGAGTATTACTGACTCATGAACTCTTACAAGTTTAATATGCAAGGTTAATCTTGTGATGGACACGTTCATCTGTCCGCAAGAGGCTGGGAACATGTCCACAGTTGGCACCTGCATGTTTCTCTGACTAATTAACACTCACTAGTCCAGAAATGCACTTTCTGAACCACCCAGTTTCACTGGTTGTTAGTAAGGCTGGGCAGGCACAGAGCCATGTGTGCATGCCAGTTAAGACTTTTTTCCTGAGTTGCCCCTTCTTGCTCTTTATTCTTAATTTTTAACGGGTTACTTTATATATTAAAACCAGCAACCTGTTGAGTGCAATAGTACTGAAAATGATTTTTCCACCTTTATCAGACAAGAGGAAGAGAAAAAAGAAGAGGGATGTATGGAAAGGTAATGGGAAACGGATTTGATCAAAATGTTACACCTACGCCAGAAAACACCGCCTGAAACCCCATAATATCACTAAAAACAGGTGAGTAGAATAAAACAGAATGTCTCCTAGTATTACACCACATTTCAAAGCTTATTTATTTAGGCTTTCTTCATTGTATTTTTCATCACTCAGCAGTTTAAAAAATCCTAGGTGACTGGATCTGCCGGTATTTGGAACACAGCTCCAAGAGTCTCTGCGAAGTTTTGGAAGATGTGTTACAGAGACGTGCTCTGCATTTTTCTCAGCATGCTCTTAGGAGCTCAGCTTTTGTCTTCAGATCATGAATGCAACTGCTATTTCTGTGTCATGTGAGGTGTGGATCTTGACGGGAAGCTACTCTGGAAATCAAGCAAAGGTTTCTGAGCCTTGGTTAGGGGGCCTCCGTCTGTGTTTATAAATAAACTTGCACCCTAGTTTATTCCTTTGTGGCAACATTTTGGAAGGACTTGTATCTCGTTGTTAACAGGAATTAATTCTTAGACGTAAAACTGAGAAGCAGGTATATATTAAAATTAAAAATTGCTTTCAGAGAACAGCATTACATTTATAGCTCAAAAAAGAAATGAGAGATTTCAACAGCTATCGCGATGGCTACTGAGGAAGGTCAGGACGATCAGATCCAGCTTTAGGAAGGGACCTCTCATCGGGTAAATGCAAGCAGTGGGAAGGAGGCAGGCAAGAGCGGAGAGGGCAAACCAGGACACGGAGAGGGACAGAGGGGCTTGCGAGGGGCGGCCTGGGGTGAGAGAGCAGGGACGGGTGGCAGGAGTTTCCTGTCATCAGTGCCCTGGGGTACCTTCACAAGGTGCAGAAGGAGACCTCAAGAAGGAGCCGAACCTCACACAGTCAGGGTGCAAACCACACTCCATTTGGTTTCACGTCTCTCCTTCAAAACCTGTCCACAGTGCTTACCGCCCTGAACCTGGCCACTGACTACTAAAGGTTTTCTCCGTGACCAGCTTTTCACCTTCTAGCTTTGTTCTAGATTCCCATGCGACGCTACGATATGGCTTCTTAGGTGGCAGGTGTCTGACTCCTGCAGCTTGATGTCTATCCTGGAAGACTGCGGCCCTCCAGCAAGGGGAGCCAGGCCAGTTCCACAGCCCCGGGGCCTCTCAGGTCTCAGAGCGCCTCCTGAGACATCCCCCGAGCCAGGCTGGAGGGCCTGGGCACTCCCTTCCTTCCTGCTTCTAGAAACTGGGGGTGGGCGTACCCAGGAAACTTACATTCAATCACCTATGCCTGATCCACACATTTGACATTTCCCTTTTGGTTCAACAGAAAAATGAGCCAAGCTGCTCTACTTAACAAATATCTGATTTTTAAGCCCTGGATTTATGATACGTTTAGAGTTCCATGGTAGCAGCATTTAGATCAGTGTTCAAGAGAAAGATCCTGGCTGCGGTGCCGGCAGGATGAATGCGCTCTTCCCTTGAGTTATTAGTACCTGCTGTTCTCACGGGGAGGTTACTTATCACACACCGGTACGTGTCTGGTGGGATCACAGAGAGCTTGCTATTATTTTCTGTCTGTCTAGACAGCAACACGTGGCTTGTAGGACTGCTGGACGCACTGCTTGAAACATTTCTTTAAGGTACTCGGGATTAAACCCAGGGCCTTCTCACTGTGCTGCATCCCAGCCTTTTTCACTTTTTATTTTTAGACAAGGGGTCTAAGGTCAAAAATTTGAACTAAAGGCTTCATCACTGAGGAAAATGATGTGAACATGTTTGATTTGATTTTAAAACTTAGGTCTATAAAAGCTGAGCCACGAATTTTCATAAAACTCAAGTATTTTACAACAAAACAGCCAATCAACATCAACAATCCCAGCGTGAAAGTCCTTCCTTTTACTTTCAACTAATGTACACATAGTTTTGCATTTCAATGCCAATTTTTCAAAGGTGTGAGGAAACATAAACGTGAAGCCTGGGGGGTTGGCAGGGGCCCCTGGTCACGGCTGTCTGACAGCTTGTGGCAGCGACTTCTGTCAGCTGATCCGAAAGGTATTCAGGCAGAGGTTGCCGGAGAGCAAGTGAGGATCCATCACGGGCTTTGGAGACCTTGCAACATATAATTTTGTTGAATTTGCATTCAAATAGTGCTAGTTTAAAAAAATGCACCTGCTTGTTTCTATGACAATAGGCACGGTGAAATGAGGCTGGCACAGATGTGATGATGGATGTCACCCTGTTATCACTGTTAGTTTTTTCCTTGAACAATTCATCAAATTCTCCTGTGCCGTCTATCACTCAACCGTGTGATACACCTCGGCAGTCAGAGCCATGTCAATGAAGTCTAACGAATGCCTTGTTAATGCGCAGGAACCGAGCCTGTGCTCCGCGCCTGCTCCTGAGACGCCTTCCACTGACTCTGCTAATTGGATAATTGGTGTTCTTCTCTCATTCAGTGCAGAAATATTTCATAGCTAAGGAAGAACAGGACTAGTGTTTGCCTCCTCATCCACGGATGTTTCAAAATACTTTTTGTTTTCAATTAAGGTAACTTTTTAAAATGTTACGCTGTTTTGATAGATGATGGCACAGACTCCTGAAATATCCATTCCCATGTATGTGTGTCTTGAAATGATACACAATTCTAAAACTTGTTTTTAAATGCTGGGTTCTAGACAGTACTCACCACAGAAGGCATCAGAGTTCTCAAGGCATCAGACGATCATGTGTTTTTAAATTACAGAGAGCCCAGATGTACGCGAGAGACTAGACGGACAGACAGTACCAACGACGCGCACACTACCTCGTAGAGCGTGATGACACCGTAGGTCTGCGTAGGCTCTCTCCACTGAAGAAATATCTTCTCTTCAAAGGTGCTTCCTTGGATGGACTCGGTAGGGACGGCACCTGGGACTGCAAGGTACGAAGAAGTGAATCAGGGGGTAACAACGCCACCCCACATAGCTGTCCCCCCTGTGACGGGGGGTGAGAGTTCTACCAGTCCCCATAGACACTCAGATTGCTTTTCAATATCTGAAATCTAAAGCTATCTATGCTGCTCTTATCAAAAATATTATTCTTTTCTTGGAAGTTTGAGAAAAATAAGTTATTAAAGAAGTTGTGACACTGAGTTTAGACAATTAGAATTCCAGTCTCTGGGACTGTCATTCATCCTGGTCAGAAGTTGAGCTCGCTTGCCACACCTGAAAAACCTTCCTAGGCCGCCTCCCCTTTGCCCAGGAAGGGTTTGTTATGGTCGGGTTCCCACAGCATCCGGGTGAGTATCTATGTGGCTCTCAGTTTGCAGTGCTATTTTTTATTTCAAAATATTCTTTGATGGAGAGGTAGGTAAAAAGAAGTAAAACTGAGAAGACTAAACCTTTGGTTTCATTACATACAAAGGTGTGAGGCAGTAAAACCAAATGAGAGGTATTCAAGTTACACTGATCGAGGACATCCTAAAAGATCAATGTGCTGAAGGTATTGCAGGAGACCTAATAACTAAAGGCAGTGTGGGAAAGTTGATAGGGAAACTTTCATTGGGCTCCTATAATTTTAGTAAGCTCAAGAATAGATAAAATTAAGGTGCACACGGTATGCATGCCTGTAATCTGAGCAATCTAGGAGGCTGAGGCAGGAGGATCCCAAATTTGAACCTCACTTACGAAAGTTAGTCTCAAGATTACAGAGGGTCAACAGAGTTAGCGAGGTAGCTCAGTCTAGAGGCCCTTGGTTCAATCCTTAGTACCGAAAAAAAATACAAATGAAAAGAACAGATAAAATAAATTTCAAAAAATACCTAAAGCTTAATTAAATTTGAGAAGAAAGTACCTCACAGGAATTTAAGATTAATAATTGCCTTTAGATGTACTAGAATACAGAATTTGGAATACATAACCATGATACCTAAATTTGTAAACTTTAGTCTTATGTAGTCTACTGATATGCTTGACAGTAATAAAAATATTAAAAAATTTCTACCTACTTTCTGATAAAATACACACTTCAATAAAATATGACACTATAATAAAACAGTGTACAATGAATTATAATAAATAAAAATAACTGCTTTCTTACCTCTTCAAACTCAGTATATTGTTTGATACTTATTCTATTTTTCTTCCTTTCTTTCTTTTGTTCTTTTGTTTTTTTGAAGTCTGGTTTTTATGGTTTTCTTTTTTTGTTTTATTGGTTAGGAAATGTAATTTACAACGATACAATT